TTTTTCTTGGCTCGTGAGGATCTCAGGTGGCCGCCCTCACCCACCAGTCAGTGACTGCCCCAGGGAAGTTTTCAATGGCCTCTCTCAGCTGCCTGTCTGTCCTCCACCAGGTAGCTCTTTCTTAAATAATCTTCCTGTGCCTTTCCTTTAATTCCGCTCTTCTGTGTTTGGTGCACTCTGATTAAGTGAGTTGTTTAGAGCACCAAAATCCTTAATTCAAACTGCTGTACCTAGTTTTTCAAGCACTTAGATGCTAGAGGGAAATAGCATAGTGCTTACTGAAGAGACTCCATTTTGAATTGCCCCTCCCCCGTGGGTTCTTTCTTAAAGGACTTCCTTAAGCATTTCTTGTAGAGTTGGTCTGGTTTTCACAAAATTCCTTAATTATGTTTTTCTGAGAATGTCTTGATTTCACCCTCATATATGATGAACAATTTGGCTGGATATAGGATTCTTGACTGGGAGTTCTTTTCCTTCAGTGTTTTATATGTGCCATTCCATTGCCTTCTTGCCTGCATGGTTTCTGCTGAGTAATCAGAACTCAGCCTGTTTGGTTATTATAATATTTCTTTTGTCCCAGGCAACTCACAAGATTCTTTCTTTGTTTTTGGTTTTGGAGAGTTTGTTTATGATATGACTTCGTGTTTTTCTCTTGGGATCTGTCCTGTATGGAGTTCTTTGAGCTACTTGGACAAATATCTTTTCTTCCTTCAAGATATGGGGGAAGTTTTCTGTTAATAAGTCTACAATTTTCTCAGTGGTTTTTTCACCTCTTCTTGTTCTAGAATTCCAATGAGGTATGTGTTATTTCTTTTCATGTCTCCCATATAATTTATAGGTTTTCTTCATTTCTCTTAAATCTTTGTTTTTTCTGAAAAACCTTTTATTTTTCTTCATACAGGCTGGTGTCAAGAGATTTATCTTCTAGTTGGGAAATGCATTCTTCAGCCTATTCTAGTTTTAGGCTATTCTTTTGTGTTTCCACTGTGTTGTGTAATTCTGTAATTTTGGTATTCATCTTCTGGATTTCTAACTGCTGTTTTTGTATGAGTTCTGATTGTGTTTTAGTCTGGTTATTTTGTTCTTGAATGATTTTCCTGAGTTCTAATGGGGCACTGTCTGTGTTCTCCTTGATTCTGTTTGGGATTTCCTTAAGCTCTTGTAGTGTAGTGACTAAGGCACTTGAATGCTAACCAGAAGGCTGGCGGTTCAAACCCATCAGCCACTCCT